CGGTCGCTCACAGAGCTACGTGTGCGCGCCAACAAATATGATCTCGGGTATACATATATCGCTTTCAATTCTCAAGCATAAGAAATGCTAAGCCGATTATTTCTTGAGCATGCAACCGAGAAGCGCAACAACGGACAACTGAACTTTCAATTCGATCGATGAAATGACAACAAACGACCGTAAATTGACGATAATCATTTCGCGAAACCAATAAATTTAGTGGCATTGGTTCGTTTAATACTCTCTCTGTTTTGAAATATTAATTTGTCAGCCGATAGAATGATATTATTATATATTGTTCTAATGTATTGTGTGCTACGCGTCATAATCGCAAAAAATTTTAAGCAAAATGTATATGTAATAATATACAAGATATTAGATTGTTCAAATATTAATAAAACTGTTTTTTTTTTTTTTAATATTATAGTATAAAAACATTTATTTAGAAATATTATATCTATTATTTTACATATTCCTCCTGAAGTTTGAGACATTTTTCTCACATTTCTGGAAGTTTTTTTATACCTTTTTCGAATTTGAAGCACAGGAAAACCCAAAAAATGTTTGTTTTCTGCAAGGCAACACTCGACCACATACTGTTAAGAAAACAATAGAAACTACCATCAATTTGGATTGGGACTTACTTTCTGATCCTCTTTACAATCCGAACTAGTTCCAGGTGATTACCATCTAGTTTCAAAACTTAAAACGGACTTGAGTGGTCAAGATTTTAAAAATAACGGCGAGAATGTACAAAACTGGAATATGTACCCAAAAACCATCTTCGAAAAAGAAACTCCGAGAAATTTTAGGAAAAATGTTTCGAACTCCAGGGGAAATATGTAAAATAATAGGTATAATATTTCTAAATAAATGTTTTTTTATACTACTTTAAAAAAAATCAGTCCCATTATATATTTGTATCATTAATATTTTAGATCCATCAAGAAAGAAAGTCACTTCTTTTCAATCAATTTGTATTATTGACTTTTTTTCGATAAAAATATTGAAAACCCAACAACTCTTTATAATGAAAAATATCAGAAATATGTCATAAAACTTATTTATATCTAGTTTTAAATTGACTTTAAAAGATTTCTGATATGAGAATCAATTGTAAAAATGTGTGAGGTTGAAAAATAAAAACAAATGACAAATGCGATAAACGATAATCTGTCTCGATATTCTCATTAAAAAAAAATCGACATTGAGCAAAGAATCTACGGATGAAAGATGATCTGAAATACCCTGTAGACGCTTTACTTTCCGGTAGGATGCTGCCGCAAATCGGAATCACGCAAATATGGAGACAAAGACAACCGGAATACCTTTCGAGGATTATAGGGCGGATACTGCCGAAGCTTGGGGGGTAATAAAACCGCAACACAGTACAAGACCCGGGGTTCCGAGAACCCTCTTTCGCCGTTATTCTTCGCCCGCGTGCGAGCGCCTCCAAATCGTTTACGATGCTTTCCTGCAGTTCCGGCCGAAAGAAAGGCCGTTTCACTCCGCTTTTACGACCCGGCACGTCCTAACTTTTATCCAATTACCAATTTTGCCAATCGCCCGGCCGAAATTTCCGCCCGGACGATACACGCGCGACGCGCGTGACGATCTGAAACGCTGCCCGCCCGAATCGGCGCAATTTATAGTAGGTACTCGGTACGGAGAGATCGATAATGGTCGCGACTCATTTCTTCGCCCGCTTCTGCCTGTGGCCTTTGGCCTTTTAACCCTTTGTGCCCGACATGACGGTTCCAGGAAAAAGATCTCCCGGAAAGAAACGAAAAATTTAACAGTATTGGTATATTAAAATCTTTTGCTAAAAATGTTGCAAAATGCAATTTTAAGTCACAATTCTTTTATAGCAGCAATGTCTTATTTGAACAATAAAACTTGAATTTAAAAAAGCTAAAGTCGTGAAAAAACTTCCGGAACATTACAGTTAGCAAGAACAGTCAATATTAGTTATAAGATAATGCAAGATTTGGAAATACCGTTTTTTGATCTAAGAGGTCAAAATATCATTTGCCATATATCTCTATCTGTTCTTTAATTCATTATGAGAGTATTTTTAAGATTATCGATTCACAGATTCTATAATACATTTACTAACTGATTTATAAGCAGTGCAAATTCCTTTAACAATTAATCACTCTTAATCACTTTTTTCCTCATAAATGTTTCGTAGTGTCGAGCAAGACTAATTTAATGCATGTAAATTATTATAATATTTGTTAATTATCAATCAAATCTCTTAAGACAGGCGTCGATGTTTTAGTACTCGCGCCAATTCGTTAGTTTGACGAAAGTTGAGATGAACGTCTTACAACCGCATTGTAATTTACTAGGTTACCACGACTCGCATCAATATGCTACGCTCTGCTGACAAACACCGCGCGCATTAGGCGTGTCGGCTAAACTAATTTTGCGTTCGAGAATTTCAACGAGGAAAGAGACGACACACCTACAACAGCTGAGTACACGTCTCCTTTCTTCGCTCCCCCTCGCGATTCGCGCAGCGATAAGTCGTATCGCGTCACCTGGCACGGCGGTAAACTATCTCGTTAAAGCGAGAGAAGGATCGACCACGTCATCGAGACGAGAACCTCTCTGTGTATAAACCCTTTGTGCTCGTTTCCTCCTTACAGGTAAACAAGCGGCGACTGCGAGTCAATTTCTATCCAATTCGCTTTCGCTCACCCCGGCCGTTTGTCAAGTTTACCTCATTTAGCTCTGCGATGCATAAGAGAGATCCTTGTGGCTCCGTGATATTTATCCGCGCTGTAACGCTTTTATTTACATTCAAATCAAATTTTGATTTTGTTTATAAATTTTACCCTTTTTTTCCAAGTAATATTCGAAGAAATCTTAAACTGACTTTCTGCAGTAAAATATTTTCTACGTTTATTTTACTTTTTGTTTTAGTTTTGCGACCCTTCAAGTTATTAAGGTCATGTAGCTTGGGTTAAAAGTATACATATAATACTTCAATTACGAGCAGGATATATTTTATAAACAACGGAGAACTAGGTAGAAAAGTAAGAAGTTGATGAAAAATATATATTTTTTACGTTTAGTTAAAAATATTTAATTAAATTACGCTAAAAAATTGTACGATTGTTTGTTAAAAAAATTGACTGACATAAATTGTCATCCCGGGCGTATAATGTAATGTCACATATCAAAAGAAATTTATTCACGATACAAAACGTCAATAAAAAGTAATTCTCTTGTTTGATGTCAACTATATCATTTATGTATAATTGAAAGGAACTTAATGCGCTTACACGCGATTCTAAGTAGATAGCAAGCAAAATAGTTCTTGGAAAATGAGACTTATAACAATCAACTTCTATAACCTTCATCAAAAATTTACCATTGCATGAATCACGAGCGTAATTGGTCGGACAATTAGACAGTTTGTCAAACAACAATACGAATAATAATTCAGTTTTTTATATCAGGTAATTCTAGAGGAAAACAGACTAACGATTCGAATCGCAGGGCCAAAATTAGTAACTGTCCTCTGACATTCCTCCGCCGGTGATCGATCGTTGTCTCGGAATCGTGACAGGAAAGTTTTTCGCGAACCTACATTTCTAGTGTCACGTGCGGCCGAAACAACGTTATTCGCTCGAGTGCATTTTCTTTGAGTGCAAATCGACTGACGGGCGATTCTCTTCTTTTTTTTTTTTAAACTTTTCACCTAGCTTACACTAAGGCGACTTGATTTTTCTAAAATTTCGCTACTTTTCCGCACCATACGCGTCGTTTGCAACGCGCATCATGATTAACAAAATTGCGAAGCGTAAAATTGTGGTTATAACGATTGCTAAACAAATTTATTGTTATAAAAAACTGTTTTAAATGTGTATTGTGTTAAGAAAAATATGCGGATTAAACATTAATCCCGTATCCTCGTACACGATTACGTAAGCAATGCAAAGAACCATTAACCGCGATTTCAGCTTTCGCGATCGACCATCCACGATCGCTCGAAGATATATATAAGTTACAATAATTGATATATATATATATACCCAATATAACGAAATTTTACTTATTGTTAGATAAATGATGAGCTTACAAAACTTGTATCAATCAAGTTTCAAAAAATCATGCACAATAGAGCCCCAATTATCCGACTCTATTATCCGACATTCCGCGATATGAGAACAAAAGTGAGAACTTCAATCATAAACCTTCGCAAATAATGTCTTTTACATCGATTTGTATATTGCATTGTTGCAATTTATTTAAAATGCTATGTTAAATTTTATCCAGTTAACTAATCAATGTATATTATCTTAAAAATAATAATAAAATTATTCTTATAAAAATATTTGTTGCAGAGAGTGGTTGTCCAATAATCACTGTATTGACAAACGAATTTCAATTTGTTACACAAATTTTTAAGCATATTTGATATGAAATTTTTTAATTTTACATCTGCCATTGTCCGCAATATCATCCAATATTTTCATCTAAGCGTCTGTTGGTCTCATTTACGTCGGATGATAATAATCGGAACTCCATTTTGATTTTCCGAAAAGTAACCATAAACGTGGCATTCTATGCTTCGGTACGCGATCGGCGTCCATGGCGTCCGCGTTCTTCTCACGAGCGAAGGTACGCGTACCGCCAACTACACCGGCTTCTCTCCGTAGTACCTTCCACCTTTCCTTCGCCTCGGACGTGCCGGTCTAACAAGAAGAGGGAGCACGGTGGCTCACAACAGTGCGTGCTCCGTTTCAGCGAATCGAGACGGCGGCTCGTAGGTCCCAGCGAACGTGGCCTGAGGCCCCGTTGTAAGAACCATCCTCCCGCTTCTCTCTCCCCTCTCGCGCAACCGTACACTAACACGAATACAAATCTCGCTCGGGCATGCGCGGTGAGCTCAGATTTAAACACACCAACGTACACCGACACGTCGCGTAGACGAGGAACGCGCGAGAAAGAAATGTGTTTTACTCACCAAGAGTTCCGTGGAGCAGCAAATAGGCAGCGATGACGAAGACAGGTTGCATGAGGAGAAACCGGGGCCTCGCCCCGGGCCGTCCGACATATTTCTCGATCATCGTCAACGGTCCCCGTCGTCCCGTCGTCTTCACTCTCAAACGGTTTTCGTTTCCGCGAACCAGCAGTCCTCCTCTATTGTCCTCCTCTTGCGAAACCGATGGCTGCTCTCACTCTGCTACGCGCGATCAGTTTCAACGATCACTATACACCACTTACACACACGCCTCTCATCGTGTTTTTCTTTTGATTTTTCTTCCGACGTTCTCGCGAAAATCAAACAAAACGAGCCAGAGACACACGTCACACTCGCGCCGATATTTCACCGTCAATGCACCGAGCGCGCCGTCCCGCAAACAAGGACACGATACGCCCGTATATACCAACGACGCCGTGCAAACGCGCCTACCCGACTGAGAACGCTACGAGAGAACGCGTACACTTCGCCCTCTCCGCTCGCTCTCACTCGCTTGCCTGACTGGAATTCTCCCCCTCCGCCCGTACAGCGCCGTGCCGTATGCACCCCCACTCATCCGACCTCGCTCTCTACCCGCGCCAGGCCGCACCAGCAAGCCCCTCTCCGGGAAACACAACAGAGATCTCTCCCACCAGTTCATACTACTTGTTGATCTTCACCAGGAACGCGCGACCAATATACCGTGCCCGATTTCTGTTCTCAACCTAGAAAGAAAGAAACACAAGCTGTATCTTTTTATTCTAAACGCGGAGATATGATTTTTTTTCCTGTAATATTATAAAAAATATTGCGTAAAACAAATTTAACGATTACTAGAAATACCGTCACTAGTTATATTTAATTCTTTAAGTTCTAGATTTAGATTACGTTATTAAAAATATTTTTTACAATGTATATTTCTTATTATTATGTCCTTATGACAGTACAATAAGCTCAGAACAATAAGCTTCAGAAAATAAATGCATAAGAGTTAATTTTGTTTAAAGTCTGATATCTCAAGCCTGAAATTATTATTATAAAATTGCTATATGTATTAGAACAAAGCAAAAAATATAAGTGCAATGTGCGTGTGTGTCTGATATATTTTGGAATTAATATACAGGTTTCAAAATTAGAAGCCTGTAACTCTATACTGCAGATAATAATTATAAAATAATCCAACTTATTCTATTAAAAAGGCGCGTCTACGTAACAGTATATGTTGGTTTATTATATGTATGTTTGGATATAAATTGTTATCATGTTTAATCATTTCTAATTTACAATGATACAACCAAATTGCATTTTCAAGTAATTGCACATTGCTTAAAAGTTGCAAGAATAATTAACTTTCATATATTCCAAGTTATATGTATATTCAAAATATAGATCATGTATTATTGCATTTTAATAATTACATGAATGCTACGTATTTAACTTATCTCTTATAAATGTAACATATCTCATATTCCTCATATATCGCTTGCAATTAAAATTCTCGCTTGCAATTTGTTAACACGTAATTATTCTAATAATAAAATATGAAAAAATCTTTATATATATAACGATAGAATGCAACGTAAATTTATTATTCATGTTTTTTCCTAAGCATTAAGATAATTAAACTGGTGTTTTATTTCCAGAAACTAATTAAATGTATATTTTATTACAAGCATTAGAAGAAAATTAATCAAAATATACGAAGAAATGCGAAGAAAATATGTTATCATATTTAAATATCATTGATTTGATCATTGGGATCAATGTTGTAGCTCTTACTTTTATAAAAATCTTACTTTTATCGAAAATACGCTGGTACAAACGACGAAGCAAGCTGAAAACGTATAGCTAAATGAAAAGTAAACAGATTTCGAGGTCAGGAACGACAGCCGAACTATAGGCTCGAAACAATCATTAAAAAACAGGGATAGACGAGTCAGCTGTTCTAATGAGAAGCGACATCAGGAGTTCGAAGAAGGGAGACCCGATTTCTCGGAAAAGAATCGCGAGACGAAATCGCAACGAGAGAGTTAAAGAGACAGCTGAAACGAGAGGTCCAAAGGATCTTGAGCTCGCGATAACAAATTTGGAAAGGGACTTGGAAATATTTGGTTGTACGGATCTGCGAGTTATTGTATCCTGTTACATATCATACCGGTTTAATTCGGAAGAAAAATAAATGCAAACACTTCTATTTAAGACTTTTTACATTTTATGTATTGATTTGTCGCGCCAATTAAAATACGTCTTAAGTGTTTTGCACGTTTTCTATTATGTTCCTACACTTTCAACATTTATAGAATGGAAAATATTATTGCAATACCTATCTTTGTTTCATTCATAAATATTGACTAGCATATTTTGCGCCGAAATCGATTGCTTTACCATGAATACACGAGAGATTCATCATTGTTATTACTCCTTCGTCTGCTATCTCGATGTAACATCACATCGAGAGAGAGAGAGAGAGAGAGAGAGAGAGAGAGAGAGAGAGAGAGAGAGAGAGAGAGAGAGAGAGAGAGAGAGAGAGAGAGAGAGACATCTCCACCATCTCTCCACAATTATCCAACGTTATTCGCAAGCCAATTCGTGACTCGTATTGAGACGTATCCCGGAATCTCAATTATAGTTAGACCTCTTACATGGGAGGCAATATACTGCAGGTTCAACAATCGTTGTAATCTGTGAAGCTCGACAGTACAGACGCACATGTGAAGCACTGCTACGGAAATTATATGTTACATGAAACTGCAAGAGATGTACAAATATTACACGACTGTAAATAGAAGGTAAATTTAATCAAGATAATTATAATAGTGAAATATATGTATAAATGCGACAACATCCCGCAATAAAAAGAAAAAAATTCTCAATTTTGTACATGTGCGGCAGCAATTAAATAATCATTAAATAAATAATCAATTTTTACAACGGAGAAAAACTATGTATCTCGCAATTATACTACTTTACTCTGCACACGTATACGACATAAATGCTTAAAGTCGTTTCACATTTTGCAAATGGCTTTCCTTAATCTAACATTAATTCCACAGTCGTTCTATGTAAAGAAGCGGCTTTCATTAATCCAGCCACGGAAAATTCTCTTCGATTTGACTGGAAAAGTTGAAAAATGAACATGTACGTTCATTAATAATACGCAGTGTCCTTGTACATATAGTACACGCTGCTAAGGAAACCTGAATATTGTTACGAGGATAAGCGCGTCGCTAACGATCCGCTCGACCATAGCCGTTTGGTGTCGCATGCTGTACACGTTTATTCGCAACGAATTACCGTAATTATCGCGGTTTTCTACCAAATTAGAGGTTCACCCGACACTTTCGTTTGTCATTTTATTTTATTTTTTTTCCAACGGGAGGACCGAAAACCAAAGGTACGGAAAACGCAGTTGACCCTGGGGCACTCTACGAAATTCAATTCCACGCGTTTCCCCGTGGGGTCTCGGAGAGCAGCATCCCTGCAATTAAACTTCTCAACAATCCGTTCGCGATCAATTAAACCGGTGAAGACCGGTTTAAGCGAATAATTTTCTCGAACGGTAGAATGTTTAGGGCGTTGGCGGATAACGAGATTAGATTCTGTCGCTCGTGTCTTCTTTCGAGAATAACGCACCGATGCGAATGGGCGGATAGATCAACTGCACTGCTATGCCGAATTATGCAATTGACCCTTGTGACTGCCTGGAATCTCAGAGCTGTGGTCATTCGACTCTCTTTGGACGTAGTCTAATTGAGTCTCTCGGCGCTCTGAACCGGATTCATTACGAGCAACGATTGCGGAAGAATCCCTTAAGACCAATTCGGGTCTAATTGACAGCATATGAGACAAATTATAGAACAATAAACGTATAAAACAAATAAATAAATTTTTTTTAAAAAGCTGAGCAAGATGTTAAACAAATTACGTAAATCTGATCAAATTTATTTTAGCGAAAACCTACTGCATTGGTGGTCGTCGGTGGACAAATCGACTCGTATTCTGGCTCGTATTCTGGCAATGTTGAAAATTCCGCAAGGCATTAATCATTATTAAAGCGGTGAAAAATTTGTTGCTGGTTATTTGGACCTCTTAATAATTGTACAGCGCTCGTTGTGCAGGTACAATACGCCGCTCGTCGATCGCACGTGTCACGTTAATTATTCTTTAGAACACCTGCTGTTATGCTGCGCGGTTCATTGTTTCATTTAATCACATCTTTCGCGTGTTTACAATGCCGGGGTAAAGAACAATCAGTAATGCATGAACTATTGTTGCACTCGGCAATAAAACAGCATTACAACATGAAAACGAACGTTCTTATTGATAATATTTATGCGATATTCGGTAGTATTCATCGAATATCACGGTAGTAGAAGTGCACGAAAATAATATATCACGTACAAATCTTAGCGATCGTCTCATAATCAAATGTCACGCGACGAAGGGAATTTCATTGGATAAGGAGTTTAAAACAGCTTTATCTTATCGAATACTTGTCAAGAAGTTTCTTTTTTGGGGTGTGTCTACCTGTTGCAACGACCACGTAACTGCGGAAGTAATCTTCCACTACACGATGCAATAAAAATACCTGGTGTAAAAACAAAAGCGAAACTTCCACGTTCAAGCGATTAGCTTGAGCACGAACTTTGCGCTTTTATGTCGCGAAGAGTTGTGTCATTTTTTAGCGGCAAAACCGCGCAAGACGACCGAAGTGCAGATTTGCAGAGCAGAAAACTCCCGGAATGTTCTCATCAATAAAAAGAGTGCTCGTTTTCGAGGAAAGTGAACGAAACGCTAATAGCGCGTGGCGTAACTTTTCCGCAGGGTGGCGAGTAATAACCCTGAATTTCGCGTTAAATAGAACGTACGGCGCGGTGAGTCGTGATATCATTCTCACGCCTGTTAATTACCGCATTTTCACGAAACTATAATTAATTCTATTTAACTATCCGTTAAATCGTTTCGTCGCGCGTATTAATGTGATGCGCCGCGACACTTATCTGTTAATCGATAAGAGAAGGACTTACACCTGTGTAATAAAAAAAGGACCAAAAAAAAACATACAGTTACGTCAAGGCTGCCAGGCGGACAATAATTTTCGACAGGCTAACGTTCGTTGCACGAACCACTCGTGCAGCAATTGTCCCGGTTGCTCGCCAGGTACTAGAAAACCTTTTTGTCAATTTCATGTTACACCGACGTTACGTTTAACACTCGTCATCAATGTGCCGCGAATCCAACGAAATAATCAAACGTTTAAAAAAAATACATTTCATTTTCCACGAAATGAATTAATAATCGAGTTTCATTGCAGAGCCTTGTTTATAATAATAATAATTATTATTATTTAATTATTTCGATTATAATCAATCGCGCAATAAATTTTAATTTTTATTTATCTTTCACAATATTTAATTCAATGCACGATAATATTGTGGTAATTGAGAATGATAAATAAAGCAAAAGTGAACGAAGATTAATGTACACATACACAATGTACACGAAGAAAATTCTATATTAAAAATTACTATGTACGGCAGTGTAGCCGCGTGGACCGAAAATTTTTACTGTGTTTCACGTGTGAAAAACATAGTAAAAATTTTTATAATGCCTCCATGGACCGCGGCTACTGCCGTACATAGTAACTTTTTATATAAAGTTCTCCGTATGATAAAAAAATCTAGCTTTGGTACATTAATTAAAAGAATCTAAAACTTTTAAATGA